GGCGTAAAAAATCATCGAAGATGGCATCTTCCTCCAGTGATAGCAACCTCACGTTTGTAGGCAAAGCCTCACGTTTGCACTTCCATTTACAGATTCCCGTGGCAACACAGGACTGGAATTTTGTGTGGGCTCGTCAATCAGGATCGAATTTTACACCAGACTTTGGTGAACACAGAAAGCACTAATTGGTCCTCAATTCCCTTGTATTTTGCTGCGCTTAATAAATCAGCTTCTTCTATTTCATTCATTGACACGTTGAAGATTTATTTTCTGCCTTTCTTCCCCCCATGGCTGTGTTTGAAACAGCTTTTCTGGCGCGTTTCTAATCCAAATCAAAATCCACACCAGACACAAATTCAACCTAACAGACAGTAGAATCATTTCGTGTTTCAAAAATATCTGTTCGGTTACTCTTTTCCCAGATAGGAGACAATATGGCACCTTCAGAATAAAACAGATCGCGAGATCTCAGGGAGATAGAAACTCTTAACTGCAGGGCTGTTATTAAGGCTTGTCACTCATGGCCAAAGTCAATCAGAACTGAGATTCCCTGGAGAATTTCCTCAACAGGCTGGAATAAAAGATCCAATCAGCCCAACTAATGAAATGTGAAATAATAGGAAGTAAGAGCTTATGATGAGAAAAAGTCGTGGTTCTGCTCGGAGGAAGCGTGACTGGACCTGAACAACACCCACCCCTTCGCACCAAATAAAGATGACATCCCCAGCTTGGCGGGGTCCAAAAAACCATCTGCAACTCATCCATGAGACAGGCTGCACATCTAATTTGCTGACCGGGACAGCTTCGATCTGGCTCGAGGCCTGGTGTCGTCTTCTGTTTGCTTCACTCTGACGGACAGAAAGGATATTTTCGTGAGCGATCAGAGAAGTTCCGTGGAGGAAAATTCTGTTTCTGATTTGGGTAGCGAACTGAGAGAGCTTGGAGTGTGCAAGATGGGCCACCGGGATTGAAACCCAATTTTGAGGCAGTTTTTAAAACGGAGCCCAAACTGACAGAGCTTTCTTGTTCCGTTTTCACATACGGGAACCTCTGGACTCCTTGCTCTGTGATGCGGGCCTACTGTTCCACGCCACGCTTCCTTGAAATCACACCGTCAGATCTTGCGTGCGTGTGTTGTGATTAACGGGGTTGCCCCGTGTGGTTCCAGTTTTCGGGACATCATTTTTCTTCGAGATTGCATGCTCCTTGGTGGTCCTTGCCTTTTCTTTCCAAAGATAGACACAAAAATTCCCTGATACTCTGGCTTCTCCTCATGACGAAAACCCTGCCTCAGATCTTTGTGGTAATTTACACCTAAATATTTCCACCACTGACAGTCACTTCCTCTTGAAATGACCCAGCTGGAATTTCTCCCTAAAGCGGGGATGCGAAGGAGTGAGGCTGTTTTCGTTTCTTTTTCTCTCCACTCCTTTTACCCTTCCTCCCCGTCACCTCCCTGCTCCATCCCTTTTCGCTGTCTCTCACCACTCAAGTTTCACTTAGTTAAGGTGATTGCAAAACCTAAATGAATAAAAGCACAATGCCGACTTGGAATATTCCACACGCTTGCCCACACCGAGAGCGTTTAGCGCTTGGTTGGTGTTTGCGTAGAAAAGTACGGAGCAGCTTTTCATTTAAGCACGCAACGTGTATGTCCATACCTGGTGACCGTGTGTGGATGAGGCATATTCCTACGGCAGACCCGACGTCATCAAGTTTTTATTGTTCACGTTTGAGGTTGGCCGGAGATGGTTCTTTATCTGCCCGAAAAGCATTGCACACACTTGGAGTGTTTATTCTGGATTTGTTTCTGTGCATCGAAAGTGTCTGATCCAGCTGAGGAATAAGCAAGATGAGCCAAGTGGGAAGACATCGTGAAAAATCCTGAATCCAGGCACAAGCCATTGAAAAAAAGAAAACCTGGCAAAGGAGCGTGGCCATGAAGGGGAGGCGAAGTGAGCAGAACACAGGGCCATCTCTCAACAACGGAATGTCTGGAGACTCGGAAACAGACTGCTCCGGGGTCCTTATGCCTTGACTTAGTGTGTTTGATAAACCAGGCTGCAAATTTACCCACGATTTCAAATGAATTAGAAATACCTTTGCTGGGCACCTAGGTGGCTCAGTCGGTTAAGAGCCAGGCTTCAGCTCGGGTCATGATCTCACGGTTCGTGGGTTCGAGCCCCGCGTCGGGCTCTGGGCTGACAGCTCAGAGCCTGGAGCCTGCTTCGGACTCTGTGTCTCCCTGTCTCCCTGCCCCTCCCTCGCTCGCCCTCTCTTCTCTCTCTCTGTCAAAAATAAATAAACATTAAAAAAAAATTAGAAATACCTTTGCAATGATCCAGCAGTCCCACTTCTCCTTGTACATTCAAGAGAATTGAAAACAGGATTGTGAAGAGATATTTGCAGCCCCATGGGCACAATAGCCGAGAGACGGAAGCCGCCCAGATGTCCACTGATGGATGGATGAATAAAATGCGGCAAATACATACAATGAAATATTGTGCAGCCTGAAACGAAGGAAATCCTGCCAGATACGACAACATGGATGAGACTCGAGGACGTTATTCTTCGTGAGATACGCCCGTCACGCACACGCAAAAAGACAAATACTGTGTAATTACATTTATAGGAGGTGCCTAGAGTAGTTAAACTCATAGACACAGAAAGTAGGACGGTGGTTACCACAGGCTTGGAGGAGGGGACAAAGGGGAGTTGTTTAACGGGTGGAGTTTTATTCATACACGATAACGTTCTAGAGATGTGTCGTAAGACAGCGTGCGGATAGTTAACAATATTGTACTGGACACTTGAAAGTTGTTAAAAGGGTAAATTGGTGTTATGTGTCTGTTACCCCAACAAAAAGCCAAAGAAATACATTTTAAAGCCAACAATTAGGGGCGCCTGTGCGGCTTAGTCAGTCAAGCATCCGACTCTGGCTTCTAGCACAGGTCACGATCTCATGGTTCATGACTTCGAGCCCCAAGTCGTGCCCTGTGCTGCCAGCATGGAGCCTGCTTGGGATTTTCTGTCTCCCTCTCTCTCTCGCTCGCTCGCTCGCTCTCTCTCTCAAAGTAAATAAACAAACATTTTGTAAACAATAACAGAGTCAACAATTAAAAATCCAGAAAGTTTCTTCGGCAGAAGTGGGCAAGGGCTCTGTTTACCCAAACATCCGCTAAGCGACTGGTGTGGAGGTTTGGAAGGTGGCTGGTTAATCAAGTCTGTTAATCGAGAGAAAACCTTGCCTTCTTGCCAGATAGACTGTCAGGAGTCTAGACCTCTTTTCAGGAAAAGAGGGCAAAAGCTCGCCTCCTGTCTTCCACCACCACATCTCTACGGTTCTATTATTTTTGTTCATTCTGCCATTTTTTGTGTATCAGTGCCTGTTGGCATGGATCATCTGGCGACCTTAAAAGTGTCAAAAGCAACAAAGGAAAGACCATGAGAACCGATGACCCTGGATGAAGCTAGTTCAGCCCGCGTGTCAGTCTAGAGCCATACCAGATAATTAAATGGTCCATACAGACATCCGCATGGGACCCTGAGGAAATATCTAGGGGAGGGCTCATGTCTAAGGAGTTACACGGCACTTCCTTCCTGTGAAGATCAAATTTCTTTCCAAATCAGCCAATCAGAAAAGCAGGACTTGGTTTTCAGCCGCGTTTATCCCGCCACACCTTTCTGATGACCTTCCTCCTCAGTTTCCCCATCTGTAAAATAGGGGCAATACCCTCGTCTGGATGCCAGAGCTTAACCCCCGTCCTCCAAAACTGCAAGGAGATCGCCAGCTCATCTCGTGAGCCTTGTGTGTTCCCAGCAGGAGTGATATGAGACCCAAGGAGGCAGAAGTGGATGCTCGTGGGGGAGGGAGGATTTTTTAAATCGTAGATATTTCGGTGGTTTGCAGAATCTGTACCTTGTAGTGTTTAATTTGTCTTGTCGCGGAGACTCTCAGTTTAACGGTTTTCCCCCTTAGTGAGATGATCCTGAAACGGAGGTTGAGGACCTCTGCTCTCGCTGGTGGGCGTGCTATTCAGCCACAGCTCAAGTGAACCGGATTCAAACCAAGGGGAAAACAATGATCTAGGTCTCACATTCTGCTTTTAAAAATGGAGAAATGGCTAATCCCCTTCTGTGACATACAGGCAGGCGCTTAGTGCTGTCCCATCAAGCACCCGGGCTTCAACCGTGTTTTTAGTATTCACGTGAAATCTCTGAGGAGGTCTTAAACCAGTGTTCCTTGCATGACAGGGCTCGGCTTTGCTTAAAACCTGCAGCTCGGGGCGCCCGGGTGGCTCAGTCCGTTGAGCATCCGACTTCGGCCCAGGTCATGATCTCACGGTCTGTGAGTTCGAGCCCCGAGTTGGGCTCTGTGCTGCCAGCTCAGAGCCTGGAGCCTGCTTCGGATTCTCCCTCTCTCTCTCTCTGCCCCTCCCCCACTCATGGTCTGTCTCTCAAAAATAAATAACCGTTAAAACCAAAATTAAAAAAAAAAACAACAAAACAAGACAGAAAACCTGCAGCTCACCCAAAGCATCAGTTCTGGGAGGACAAGGGTCAGATCGTGTGCTTTTATGCTCCCAGTGCCTAACTCGGTGTTTGGTTGTCGGTTCAACATAACCTGCTTATGAAAGTGCTGGGGTAATGAAAGAGCTTTATTCTTAACTAGAGCTGGGTCTGGGGGTGAGGCAAGCGAGCATTTGGGGGTAAAATTTAAGGGGACACTTGCATAACCCCCGCGTCCCGAGCCAAAGACTCACCGTAGTCCCGACCCTGGTTTTCACGGAAGCGGAGTCCGATTTCCACAGGCTTCCCTTTGCAAAGTCGATTTACACAGGCGACTCTTCTGGAAGTGATATGGTCAGGAGTGCAAAACAAGGCACTTAAAACAACTGTTTCGACACCCCTCCGTTCCACTTTTATGAGTAAATTTCTTTCGACTTGCGCGTGACTCACATTGACCCCAGCTCCCTAAATGTTTCATTGCTGTCTTCCAGATTACCACAGATCTGAGGCAACGCTGTACAGACAACCACACCGGGACCTCGGCCTCGGCCCCCATGGCTGCGGGCATCATCGCCCTCGCCCTGGAAGCCAAGTAAGCTTTTAGCTTCCTATTGTCTCCGCTGGCGACAACCCCTCATCTCAAGGACAACTTACCCATTCCCTACTATATGATCCCTAGCACAACAACCCAGAGCAGAATCTTCCAAATGCGACCTTTCAAACGCCAAAGACTAGGATTTTAAAAAGAATTTTTTTTCCCCGATATCAAGAAAAAAAAAAAAAAACCAATTCATTTCTTTTTTTTTTTTTTTTTGGTTTTTATATCCTTAAAAAATCAAACTGTGTAATTACTTTATTATGGAGTCATGGTGTAGGCATGCCAGTTGGCTCCAACCCTGTTGCCTTGTTGAGGTTTTTATTCTAGTCTGGGAATGTTCCTGTGGGTCTCAGAACAGTCAGGGGCCCTTTCCCTGCAGAACAGCCAGGCAGCTCGGATTCCAGGACAATAGCGCTCCCTCTGGGGGACAGACTATGTCAAGGTCATTTGACTGAAGCTCAGGGTCAAGAACAACCCACCCACCTTCAGCCCTGTTGCGCGTGGTCAAATTCTGTGTCTGAGAGATCCCTTGAAAGGCCCCTTAGATTCCGTGCTGTAGGCCTCACTCTCTGTCTGTGAAACACCAACAGATTTTGCTGTCTTAACCAACGTCAATTTGTCTCCACTCTTGGGAATCCTGGATCTTAATTCTTTCAAAACCTCGTACAGATCTACACGCTCTTACCCTCAATGTCAAAACCCAAAATGCCAAGAAAACTGGAAGCTCTTTTGCAAATTTGGCACAAAAACTCATTTGATGGCAAAGCCCTGAACTGACTTGAGGTGGTTTGTCTTTATCGTGCGAATCCATACAAATATTAACGTATGTGATTCTGACGTGCTGGCTCAGAGCCTCCCCCCCCCACCCCCGCACCCCGCCCCGGAAGTTTTGTATAATCTATGCTCCGGATGCCATATCTGAAAAAATGTCGAATTCCAAATACATCAGGTCCAAGAATTTTAGAAAAGGGACTGTGGGCCTGCACTCTGATGCCCTCCTACAAGAGGATCATAAAAGCAACTGAAGTAAGAACGTAAGTGTTTTTCCAGAAATAGCCTTGCACCCCTGTCCCAGGGAGGAATAGAATGATGTTTCCATTTAGTTGTACCCAAACGGAGAGAAATAGCCGATGACAGGAGAAGAACACAAGAATGATGACGAGACCTTCAGTAAGAACAGTACTCGCTCAGTCTCAGTACGTTTGTAGCTGCCCATTCTTTAAGGCAGAGAGCCTGTGTTAAGGCAGTCGGGCCCTCGTGTCATATGGAAAGAGTGAAATATAAGGCATGGAAAGCCCGAGACGGGCAGAAGGACACAGCTTCAGATGTGGGCTGTCTTCGTCTGTTGAGACCACTAGAACAAAATACCGCAAATGAAGTAGCTCATAAACAACAAAAATTATTTCTCGTTTTTCTGGAGGCTGGGAAGCCTAAAATCGAGACACTGGCCCATCGGGTGTCCGGGGAAGGTCCACTTCCTAGGCGGGTCCCATGGCAGAAAAAAAAGGGGCAAGGGAGCTCTCTGGGGTCTCTTAAGAGGTCTCCTCTTTGTGACGGCACCACCCTCATGACCTAAACACCTCCCAAAGGCCGCACCTCCTAACGCCATCACACTGGGCATTAGGTTTCAACATACGAATTTCGTGGGGACACCAACATTCAGAACATACAGTGGGTGCCACACCTTTTGTTGACCCCTTGCCAAAAATTGACGTGGAGAGATCTCCAAGTTCACACGAATGTCTGTATCGCTTTCTTTTTGATGAGGTTAATTAATAATCGTTGCAATGTGTTGTATCTTTTAAAGTGTTAAAAATTGGGGTGGAGCAAAGAACTTGCACTTACCTTATTAAATTCTCACCTGACAACTTTTCACTGGGCAGTTCTGGCCACAGAAGTGTCTGTTAGGTATCTATTTCTCTAATGTTTTATTTATTTATTTTTGAGAGAGCAAGTGTGTAAGCAGGGGAGGGCAGAGAGAGAGAGAGACAGACAGACAGAAGCAGAGACAGAGACAGAATCCGAAGGAGGCTCCAGGCTCTGAGCTGTCAGCACAGAGCCTGATGCGGGGCTCGAACCCACGAACCGCGAGATCATGACCTGAGCCGAGGTCAGATGCTTAACTGAGTGAGCCCCCCCAGGCGCCCCTAAGTATCTGTTTTTAAGTTGGTGACTGCTGATTGGATCTTTGAAAAGCATATTGGCTTCATCCTGCAATTCTGGGGTATTTGCCCACAAAATAGTAAATTAGAAAAAAGTCAGGAATTGATCAAGCACTTCCTAATTCCCCTCCAGAAATGGTTGTCATTCTCACCCTTGGTAATTAAGCGCCATATCGGTGGCTACAGATATACATGATACTCCGTTCCTTGGGATATTACCGTACCACTAATATTTCAACAGTTCTCGTAACCACTATTTAAGTTCAGGTGGAGAATCCTCACTTTTATGCCTCAAGCAGCGCACTCGGTTGGCTAAGTTTGCCTTGGGGCTGGGAACACCCTGAAAGCCTTCCATCTGTTTTCGTGCTCTTTGCCTTCTGAGCATTTTTAAAGATTAATTTTTGCCGCAACTGTGATGGATGGAAGGCAGGGGGCCAGACAGCCTCTACGTGGAAAGAGCCACTGTTAATTGAAGACTGTCAGCAGTACGGTCTGATCATGGAGCCAAAAGTAGATGGTAAATAGACTGATAGATAAAATGAGAAAGGATAAACCGTGCCTTGTAACTCCACGTAACTCCACGTAACTCGTTCGGTGGGCCAATCTTTTCCCGTAAGTGAAGCTGGAGGTTAGGAGGGGGACATCAGTATTCCAAGAGTGGGTCAGACGTTGATGATACACCTGGATCAATAAGCTGTGGGCCTCCAGCATGGCGTCAAAAGTATCTGGGACTAAGAAATGACAGCACAGAGCTCGGATGACAGTAAGCCAAGGCTTCAGTTGTTCGAAAGCTAAGCCGAAGCCTTGCAAACACACCTCACCCACTCAGCAGCCTCCCCCCCCCCCCAGGGATGTCCTCATCTAGTGCTTTTCAACAAGTCTTGGAGCTGGGTATTTGGAGATTCAACCTTTCCTCTCACAAGCTGAAAAGCCTGATCTAAGGAGGGAGAAGACAAAGCGGGCAGCATTGCCCCGGGGCACAGCCAGCACTCTCAGGTCAGGGAGTAGGGTGAGGCTGAGTGTTGGGGGTAAAAAGCTGCCAGTGGGGACTGCCGTCCCCATTTCCCAGCATGCCCCAACTGTCCCCGTGCTCTAGGGGGTATTGTCATTTCTCCTAATGGCAGATTTCAATCTAGATTGAATCAATTCAATTCAATTCAATTCAGTCAATCTAGATTCAATCAATCAATTCAATTCCATCTAGATTACAGTCACTCAGGGAAAACTGCCACTTCCTGGCCTCCCTCCCCGGCAGCCTGCTTTCGATGCATCGCAGGTGGAATCTAAGAGAAAAGAAAAAAAACAAAACAAACAAACAAACAAAAAAAAAACGATACAAAACATAGAAACAGATCAGCTCAAAGTGTGCAGATTTCTTATCGGAGCTCAAGCAAAGCTTGGTCCTGAGTTAACTGCTGCGAGAGCTCATAGGACAGACCCCCCAGGCCATCCTTTTCGTAAGGGTGTGTAAGAACAGGTGTTACCACAGAGGACACTGTAGCATACCCCAGACCCTCGGGTAAAAGCACACTGCACCCAAGACTGGAAGGATTCCCAGTCCCTCGAAAATCTGCCTCCTTTTCCTATTCTTCCTCAGTTTGAGCCTCGTCATCGCTACAGGCGCTTCTGACAGTCGGATCACAAACTTTGCCTTTCTAGTAAATAAGGCAGTTTCCTCCTGTTCCCAAAGATATCACCTGGGTGCAGAAAGCTGTCAGTGTTTTACCCTTCTAAAAACCGGGAGCAATTTCAGAATAGGAGAAAATCCTGTCATCTTAAAACACAGGAGAGGACACTGTTTTTGTGCTGGGGTACTCTTTGTATGTATTAGTTCAGAGGTTTCTAATATTTCAATTAGGTGGATTTTGTGGATCTGGAAGTCATTTTCTGGTTTTTTCAGCTGGGTGAACAGGGACTGTGTAATCAGTGATTATAAGTGAACTAATTCTCATTTGGGCCGTTGCTGCTGAAAGTGGTGTCCTTTTGTGTGGCATAATTCAGCAAGTTCAAGTAAAATGCGCGTCCCGGGAGCAGGTTTCTTACCTAAAGAAAAGAGTGAAACATGACTAACAGTTTTAGGTGAGCAGCACAGGAGAACGAAAGAGCTTGGCATCGCAATCTCAATGCCGGGATGTATTGCCAGTTACCATAGCCCTGTTGGGAAGAGAAAAGAAAGTTGCCAGCAAATGACGTTGCCTATAAAATGGTTTAGTAAATAAAAATGGCAATAACTGACGTTCATAAGAATACACTCTTCAGATTTTTAAACTCTGTTTTACTGAAGTTTCCCTGACCGGAGGCTGTAAGCGTTAGCAAAGGGAAACTAATTTAGTAGAGTCTTCCCTATGTTTAAATACCAGCATTAGCTCAGGACATTCAAAATTTAAGTTTACCGAAGACACCTTTCGGCCTTGAGTTGCAAATGGTTTCTCACTGGTAAACCGAGTAACATATGGTTAGCAATCAAGAAATGTTGTACAGCGAACGGTCAGTGAAAGGGACTGAGTCAGATAGAAACTTTGAAAAGTGTTTAGGACTTTGAGAAAGGAGGGTGTTGATGCAAAGAATCTTCCACACAATCCTTGGTTGAAGTGACCTGGGAGCATTTGCCTCCAGTTTCGTATCTCAGGAGCCTCAGGGATACCTTCCTTTGAGAACGTCTAACAGAGCTACACCTAAACTCAGAAAATAAACAAATTGAAGGGGGGGCTGTCATTGGGTGCTAAAAATGTACCCAGGATGTCACCTGCTTCTGGTATGCTTCCTAGCCAACTTGATGGGCATACAATACACACATCTCTAGGTAGGCTCATCTATTTTATTTTATTATCT